TGGGGCTCCCTTCTTCATTTCTTTATTGATTTTATTGTACATGATGTTCCGGCTAGAATCTTTTTTTTTTTTTTTTTTTTTTTTTTTGTAAACTATCTAGCTTCTTTTTCTGTTTGGTTTTTCTTTTTTTTAATTGTATGGTGTTATTAAACCGTTTTTTAGAAACAAATTCAACCCCTTCGTTTAACAATTTTTTATCAGAACATATCGATTCTGGGTTCTTTTTTCTGCCTCCTTTCTTTATTTTTTTTATTTGTTTTTTTGTTGATTTTACGGCATAGGAATTTCAGGAGATTTTACAGAAACATAAATACAACCACTTTTTCAACTAATTTTTGTAATGAAATATATCTATTTTTGAATTTTTTTCCTCTATTTTCATAATTTATTTGTTGATTTTATTGCATATGATGTTCCGGCCCGCATACATTTTTTAGTTATGGTTTTAGTTATTAGTTATTTATTTCATTTTTTTATATGTTGCCGCCAAAATCATTTTCTCTCTAGATTCCACAATATATTTTACTATTTATCAATGTGATTATATTGATAATATAATTTGTTGACATCACATTAATTAATTATTCAAAATACCGCAATTGTGTAATAAGTTCAGATTTTTTAAATTTTTCTATTAAATTTATTTATTAAAACTGGTCTTACTAAACCAACCATTAATTTTACAATAATATTATAGAATAAATAAATTCTAGTTGATAGTGATCGACCTCCGTAGTTTTAAATTGGTGTATTGGATCTTCTTGAGGTATTTTTACTCCATATTTTCGGAAAATCACTGGTGTATAACAAGTAAATCAGTAGACCTAATATGCTACCTTGTGGCACTCCTGCATTTATTGTTTTTAATTTTGAATATTAATCTTCTTGTTTGACTCTAAACAGTCTGTCAGTTAGGTAGGAACTGATAATATCGACATACTGCTTTGGTAGCATACCTTTTAGTTTATTGATGAGTCCTTCGTGCCAGACCTTATCAAAAGCTTGTGAGACATCAAGGAAGATAGCAGAACAAATTTGTTTTTCTTCGAGAGATTTTTCTATTACGTCCGTTACTCGGTGAATTTGGTCTATTGTCGTAGTGTCTTGTTCGGAATCCAAATTGGTGGTCAGGAATGATTTTCTTTTTTTCAACGATGTGTTTTATTCGTTTTAATAATACCTTTTCGAAGAGTTTAGACACTGTTGGTAGTAGCGATATTGGTCTATATGATTTGACCTCGTTCGCCGGTTTTCCTGTTTTTTTATCATAATGACTTCTGTGAATTTCCAGATGCTGGGAACATATTTCAGTCTGATAGCAGCATTAAATAGGTATGTTAGTTTAACTATACCCTTTTTTGGCAATTGTTTCAGTATTTCTCCAGTGATAAGGTCATATCCTGGAGTCTTTTTAGCAGGTAAATTTTTAATTTCTCGTGCTATTTCTTTAGGTGAAACTAGCTTTATATTTTCTTCTTGTGGCGTGGTTGTTACTTCAAGTAAGCTGCTATTGATGATTTCATTTGGTTTGAAGATTTCAGCAAGGTAACTAGCAAACAATTCGGCTTTTTCTCTGCTATCTCTCGCCCAAGTACCATCCTCTTTTTTTAATGGAGGAATTTGGGCGATTGGTCTTTTAAATTTTTGTATGGCCTTCCACAGCGAGTAGTCAGTGGCTTCGCCTGGAGTTAGGTCTTCTAGATAATTTGTGATTGAGTCGTCATGTAGTTTTTTTAGGTTTCGTTTAAGTTTTTGAGCCATATTATTAAGAATGTTTTTGTCTACATGGTCTCTTGATTGTTGCCATCTTCTTCTAGCCGTTCAGATAATTACAGTATACAAGAGAATATGACGTACAAGTTTCTTTCTGTAAAACGTGTATTCAATTTTTTTTTAAGTGCACCGATAAATAAACCTTATCCTTCTAAGAAATAAGGAAACAAAGTTAGGCTAATGTAAGTTTTCATAATGTCACGAAGAGAAAGTTCTTAATTAGTTTAAAAGTGGCAAAACAAGTATGTAGAGCCTATTTTTTTTCCAATTTTGAAAAAATCTTAAGGTCCTCTAGCTAGTCATGAAGTTAGGTACGTTCGTGCCTGTGTCTATATGGATATCCATGGGAGTAAACGCTTCCGATCGAGAATAAACGTTTCAAAAGGCGGGCCCAGTGATCATCTACATTATAGTAATGATCATCTTTGAATTAGCGACGTAGGTTCTTCGTGACATAACCATTCTGGACTAACGCATCTTCCATATAAACTGCTTCTTTGGTGTAATTTTGTAATTAAAAACTTTAATTTGCTGGTAGATTAAATATGTATAATAACGCATTATTAACTTTAAAAAAATCCTGCTTGATAAACGAATTTCATATAATAAATAAACTTTGTATTGAACTTGTATCTTCATTCTTGCATTCGTCCGTAACGTAATTAACTCCATCATTGTTAAAAAAAGAAAAAAATAATCTTTTCTACTGCCGTTATTTACTAGTTTATAAAGATCAAAATAATAAGTTCGACAAAATTGTCCGAGTCGATATGTTCTGACATGTTTTCTGGAAATTGACGGAATTGGAGCTTTCCAGAGGAAAATGTAAGCCCCCTCTGCTGTAATTGGAATGTGATCAACGTCCGGGAGCTTTGTTCGTTTAAATTGCCATCAGGCCTGTTCGTAATGCCATCAAGTCCCAAAATATTGAGGATTTATCTTTCACGTAGTGGAGTGGTTTAGCCTCCGGTCGATCGCAAATTCGTGAACATTATACTGGATTGGGTTTATTAATGTATAATAACGTCGTACCTAGGAATCGTCCTGTCACGTTCTGATCCATCGTGGGACACATTTCCTTTTGTTTGTCCGACAGTTTGACTGGAAGACTTGAAGATTTGTAAAGTGAAGGGTAATCACGTTACGGGTTATATCGTACTAATTGTGTTATTGTGCGGATAGTGACGAAGGAGCATCCTAGCAAGTCTTCGTACAATTTGCTTAAGAGACTTAGGACTTGCCACTGTTTATGAATTGGATATTTTTTAAACATATCAAATAGAGGACAACGCTTATTAATGCTCCTGTGTTATTATGTTAAATGTGTAATGTTATTAAGAGAGTACGGCTACACTTAAGCGACTTTGATAGATTCTCATGTGCTAAATGTATAATTTGTTTAAAAATGTTATTCATAAATTCGATTATTTTTGTGAATAATGACGATTAATGGATTATTTTAAATACCCAATATAAATCAAAAGGCAGTATCGGTTGATTGTCAATAGAAATTATGAAGGTGGGGTGAGTGAGTAGATTCACTTTTTGTAAATTATGGTTTTACTCATAGATTTGTTGTTTCGAGCATTAAACGATCATCATCAGTTGAAAGAGTTACAAACGCGTTCTCGACATGAATTGAGTGAACTTTCCGATCCACCGCCAAATCGAAGTTCCAGTGAGATGCTGGTTTTTTAATGCTCCTCAAATTTAAACTTGCAAAAAACTTGAATTACAACACAAGTAAATAAATTATCGACAAAAAAATGTTTTCCTAGCTTCAGTCATTCATAAAACTAAAAATTCTGGAATAATTTATTTTAATTAATTATGCGAAACCAAACTGTGAACAGTTGTGCCTTGGGGAAAAAATTTGAATTGTGATGAGGTAAACAAGTGGTTATCGACAGCAGAAGCATTAGCATCCCAAAAAGTCAAAGTAAGAATAAGTAAGAATTGTCGCTTCCCTATTTACTTTTTTTTAGAAAGTTCGAAACCAAGCCGTTGATCGTAAAATTTGAGAAAACATGACGGTCAAAAATTTATACATTCTTGAAAATACGGATGAGAGTGATCGGTTTTTTCCATGAGCATAATTTAAGTTTAAATACACTGTTTCAACAAAGGGAGGGAACTAGATTGGTTTGAGAAATAAAAAAATCCATTATATTTCGTGGTCCGATTGACCAAATAACTTCTTTTAAGTAATTAATCTTTATGTAAGGTATTGAATGTTTTGTCCCAATCAACCTTGAAAAATGGCAAAAAGGAGGTAAAATCCGAAAGGTAGGTTTGGATGGGAAATTGGTGTCCGAGTGGATCGAAGTCGCGATATCTCAAGGTAGAGCAGCGGCGTATTTAGCCGAAGGTCGTGGGTTCGAATCCCGCTCGTAACGCTAACTTTTTATTTCAACCAATACCTTACATAAAGATAGATTAATTGTAATTAAAAACATGAAATAAAAAATGTAAAATTAAACATGGAGATCAATACATAAATAATATAATAAATTTTGACTTACCTCCTATTTTAAAGATGTACCTAAATAATATTTGACATTATAAATTAATCACTAATTTGAAGTTATTTTGTTATAGTATTTATTAGGATAATATTTAGTTGTGTTGAAATTCACGTTTTTTTCCGTTCAAAATTGAGCGGCAACTTTGCAAATGTGTGTGTGTACATAGATGTGGGATTTGAGCTTATATAAATCCAAAATCCAAATTTAAACAAAAAAAATTATACACATAACGTTCAACGTTTCTCCTCTGTCAGTTTGTTTTAGATTCATACATGTAATCATGATTTACCATCAATTTATTATTTTAGGTTAAATTTTAAATGTACGAACTAGAAAGTATTGATTGAAGGTGGTTCATGTTATCCACCTTATCCTTCAGAATTCTGCCGAAGTTTGAATTCATTATAGATCCCAAGATCACTTCTCATGTTCATCAATATTTATTCTTTTAATTCACGTTGTTAAAAAAATGCTAATTTTTGTACTGAATAAGATCTGTAAACGTAAAAAAAAGTTTTTGAAGGAAAACAGTATTTACAAAAGTGATGTATTAATTTTAAATTGTGCGAGCTCAAACTTTTTATCACTGCAAACACTTTGCTGGCCATAATGTTTGGAAGTAAACCTTTGTTCAATGGTAAAAAGTCGGCCGCGATTTTTATTTTCCGACTGGTGTCTAATGAGGAATATTTTCTTGTTCAGTTGCGACTTGCTCGGTACCATTGGTGATCATTACAAGGACGTTGGGCGCGGAAGGTGCCTCTGGCCTACAAATAGAAAAGTGAGTCTAAAATAGAACAAAAACATCTAATGGAAAGTGAATTGTAGTTGTACAAGTTTACATAGTCGTATGAGGTTTTTGCATGGTTTACATATACATTTATAAAGTAGTGCATCTGTTAGTATTGTTTAATCTTAAATTTAAAAATTTAAAGTGTGTGTTGTGTGTATCTTTCCAAAAAAAAGAAAAACTTTGCTATACTTTAGAAAACAATTAGTAAGGACACCTCTCATGTCAATGCTTTAAAAAAATGAATATATGAAAAATAATAAAGTTCTATAAACAATATTTATATCTCTCCGAAAATCACCGTTCAGAATAAAACAGATCATTTTAAGTCTATACATAGCTCTTTGACCTGGTCGTTTCCGTTCATTTTGGTCTGCTTAACCTCGCGGTTTGGTGCGTCAGGGTTATAAGCAGGGCGAGACAGCCCTCACCCACCACGAACCGACCAAGGTAAAAGTACAATTTGTAGTAGTAATTAGACGAGTTTCGGCTTTTCGTCTTTTTCAATAGTGGGTTGGTTTTATTTTTCGTAAGACAGGTCTTTTTTATATCGTGAGATTTATATGTTGTCTACGGTTGATGTACTTTTTTCAGATTATTCTTGTCCGCTAACCGCTGGTTCGGTCTGTCAAACGCGTTTGTCATATTGTCGTCATTAGTAGGTTTGTTTGGTGTTTCAACCTGTTTATCCCTGACCAGTCTATGAAAGCGGAGAATGACGAAGTGCGTCCAAAGCATCGTGGAAAGGCAAACTAGGAGCATGGGATAAATCATCACGCAGACGTCAAGACCAAAGACAAATATTTTTTTGCTTTTTGGATCTTTTCTCTTTTGTCTACCGGGATATAAATGTGCATTTTCGTCTGTTTCAACTAATCCTGGTCTCCATATCCTCGCTGCCTGGTGGGTTAGACGAGGAAACAACCATTATGCGTCAAGAAATAACCAACCTAAAAATACAAGTTGGTAGTAATTGTTTTTTTACAGATGCATTTCTTCTTCTCATTTTTTACGGTGGCTTCATGTGATTTTTCTTTAAGGCAACCTTTTCTATATTGTGAGATTTCTCTGTGTGGTCATCGGTAGATAAGCCTGTAGTTTTTCGTTTACGATCATCCTGGTCCGCCTATTCTCGCGGGTTTTGGTTTGTCAGACGCGTTTGAGTATTGCCGTAAGTTGAGGCGTAGGTTTGTGTCACCACCGAAGTCTGCGGAACGCTGGAACACGTCTCACAGACCAAAGCACGCGAGTATACATATGCGACACCTGGATGATCGGAAATCAACAGCTACCTCTGTACGATTTCTAAGAAATCAATGATTTCTTTTTTATATGTTCCTGAAGTTTTGTTAGCCGCGTTTCGTCTTCTCGCCATTTATCAGTAGTGGGGTTTTTTCTATTCCTCTCCTTGCTTGTATCCCTTACAAACCAAAATGTCTAAAAGCGCCTGAAAAAATAGACCTAAACTATTGGCAAAACCGAACTAACTGTTCCAAAAATATTGCAGATTGGTATTGGTATGACCGCAAAAAACTTTATATTCCATCTGAAATATTGTATAATTATATCAAGAAATTTCATGAGCTGTTATAATTTAAAAAAGTTTACATTTTAAACATTAATTACTATTTAATAATATATATTATCCATTTTGTTTCTTTTATCATACAATATGTAATAATTGCTAATTATTGTTCATTTTAATGGATATAAGCTATTTTTGGAAAAATATGTAACACACCAACATCAGAATTATTTTACAGTTATAATGCTTTCCATTGCTGACAATTCAGCATGGGAAAATTAATCAGAGTTGGTATTTGTTTAAACCATCTTTGGGCCTGAGAATAAAAAGCATTCCTCTACTGTGAAAGATCTCGTGGTTCTTCAGTAATAACACTTTTTTTAAAAGAACCCAACACTGATCAGGCTTTATATTGCAATAAATTATTACAAACGCTAGAAGGAATTCGCCCCTGGAATTGTAGAAAAGTGACATGCACAGAGAATATTGAGTGACTAAGCATAAACAAAATTGGACATGTCCAGTGTACAAAAATTGAACAAAAAATTAACCATAAAATACAAGGGTTAATAACATCGAAATGAAATAATGCAATCATTTGTTCTGAATTTACTGCTCCGAATTTTTAAAATTTAACAATTTAATAACCTTATTTAAGTCAAGTCATATTCGAGAACAGGTATACAAGCGCTTGGAAGACCGATAATCAAATAAGGTAGTCAATTTTTCTCATATTACCGTTTTTATTGCGGGGTGAAGTCATCAGGTTCAAATCAGAATAAATATTACTTCTCTCACGTATTATTTTTATACTTTTGGTCCTAATCTACACGACTCCTCTTTTCCTGGTATTATTTATGTTGTTAAGTTTCTGTATTGTAATATGATTATTGTATTTTTGCCCCTTGAGAAATATAAATCAGTTATCGTTAAATACTACTGTGTATTCTACGGGTTGATGACTGCAGATGTTAGTTGACCATCATCCTGGTCCGCCTTTACTCGCTGGTTTTGTTTTTTCAGACCCGTTTGAGTATTGCCCTATGTTCTAGTTGTACGTTTGTGCCACCAATGAAAACGGCGGAATGACTTCTGGTCTAATTTCTTCAATGGAATTTTAACTGGTACATAATTCTACGATTTAATTTATTCATGATATCAGTAGCAATCTATTAATTAGCGGAAAAAAGAAAGTAGGAAATCACTATCCTAGATTTGGAGCACATGGTAAAAAAAAAGAGAATCAGAAAAACAACCACTCCATCATCCCAATGCAAATGAATCTAGCAATTCATTCCTCTTTATGAACATATGAACATGAGCGTTTTCGAAGAAATCGGCGTTTTAAGGTTCACAAGCTTTTTCTCAGCTTGCGCTAGATTAAATGTGTTTAAAGTCGTTAAGTCCTTTGTAATTATCCTGGGCCACCTTTCCTCGCTGGTTTGGATATGGATGAGTTTGTGACAGTTATTTCCTCGATCCGTTGGTTCAACAGAGGAGGATTAGCCGACCAGGATGACCGGAAATGATAAAACTACAAATATTCTGCCTGTGGAATTGTAGCAACACAAATTGTTTTCGCCTTGGACTTGAAATTTAGATAAAGTTGTCAAATAAAATCTGTGTTTTCTATGTTGAAAAATTCATCATTAGCGAAACTGTTTGTCTTATGTTTTATAAATTTATACATTCCGTTTGTACAGTAAAAAAATTATTTGAATTATCAAAAGTGTACTTATACGATTATCCATTTTTGATTAGACAACCGTCCAATTTTCGTCTCCCTTCAACTTTGTTTTAATTTTATAACAGTTAACAGGTCGAAAACATTATCGGATGTCGTGACTAGTATAAATACAAGACAAAAGTAAATAGTGAGGGAGAATTAGAGAAGGCCCTGGGACCCATTCTAATGAACTTGCCGGGCGTGACGGGTGTACGAGATTACTGGAGCGGGGAACCTGCCCCCTCATGAAAGAGAACATTTCTTCCCTGGAAAGTCGACGTTTGGCAAAAACGAAAAAAGGAGGGTGTTCAACGAGTTAGCATCTTTACGATGAGAAAAGGGCTGAAGACGCACCAAAGGAAAACGTTGAAGTAGTACTTGCCGTACTGACTGTTCTTAAGAAAATCTCACAAAACATTAAATGACTGGGGTCACATTTGTAGTTTGGTCGTTGCCGGTTATTTGGTTTGCGATCGTCTCTGATTTGGCCTGGCAGACACGTTTCGGTGTTGTGCAATTTTCAATCGATGCCTCACCCTGCTTATAACCCTGACGGACCATAAACCCGCGATGATACGAGGATGTGAAACGAACAACAACAGAGTCATTACTCTGCAACCTCTAGATGCCACAGCTAGATGATTGATTCAAATTGTCTGTTATTTAGATCCTTAATGATCTTCAAAAAAACTTGTATCCACCTTTTGGAAAATTATTCTAAATGATTTTAAAAACTATTTTGAACACCTCATTCACTATTAGTGATTAATAAAGGTTGCAAACTGGGTGTTGTATGTCGAAACTTGTCCTGAAAAATTTAAACTGCGAGGATAGGGAGAAAAGGAAGAACAGACAGTGTTAGTTATTCTCAGGTACAGTCGTAGTTTTAGTTTGTTGCCTCGCACTTCTTATATGCCTGACGCACGAGCACCGAGGATAAGCTGACCAGGATGACTGGTGCTTCACCTACCACGAAACGATAAGATAAACTACGTTTTCTCGTAGCAAATGTATAGACCGACAAACCCGTTTCGGCTTCTCGTCATTTTCAACGGTGGGTTTGTTTTATTTTTCGTTAATGAAGCTCTTTTTTATATTTTAAAATTTCTCCGCGTGGCCTGCGGAGTGATGAACCTGCAGCTGTTCGTTTCCGATCATCCTGGACCGTCTCCTCGCTAGGTTGGTCTGTCAAAAACATTTTGACATTTTACCACCATTACTCAGACATTTGTATTGGTGCTTAACGCTGATTATCTACGTACACGCTTTAAGACGAAACTGTTTTTTTGATTTCTTCTCAAGGTCTGCGGGTTGATGATATTGCAGCTCGGTTCGTTTCCGTTCTGGTTTCCTTAGCCTCCCTGCTTGGTGGGTCCGGTTATAAGCAGGGACGAGGCACAGCCCCCCAACCACCACAAAATGTCCAAGATAAAACCACAATTTATAGCAGTCTTTTTTCTCTCAGATGCGTTTCTACTTATTGTCTTTTTCAATAGTGGGTTTGTGTTATTTTTTGTTATATCAGCTCTTTTCAGTTGTCTGTTCAGTTCAGTCTTGTGATTTTAGTTGCCTTTGAAACTGGAGTTGAGTGCTCATATTTGTTTGTTTCGTTGTAACTATTAGAAAAAAAATAGTTAGGTGGAGGAAGTTTATTCTGTTCTTGTTTTCAGTTTCTACAGTGAATGGTGTGTTTTTATGTTTCAGTTCAGGTCAGTTAGTACCTTATTGTCGTGGCTACAA